GATCGTAGCGGGTGGCTACAGGTACGTTCATCCATCTCCCTATCGGCTACCTACCGTCCAGGATGTGCTAATGATCATGCCCAATGAATAGTCAAGGTAGTGCCGTCATTGACAATGCCGTCCAGGAGCTCACCGGTCAGAGTCGGAACATGGTCAAGGGGGTTGTTTTCTTCGGCTTCACCCGTAACCTTCAGGACCACGGACAGATCCCTGGCTATCCCAAGGAGAATGTCAAGGTCTACTGTGAGGTCGGTGATATGGTCTGCAATGGTACACTGGTTGTCACCCCGGCCCATATGACCTACGGCGCGAAGGCGGATGATGCTGCATCTTTCCTTGTGTCGAAGGTTCAGGGCCAGGCGTAGAGTGAAGTCGCGAGACTTGAAGAAGAAGGGATATTCCGGCGATGAGATATGGGTTGGTGGGTGGATAGGTCATGCTGGTTGTGATCTTTCTCATGGACTGGTTACATGTATATGATCAGGTGCAGATCGAGGTACTTGTGTATAACTATATCCTCCAGATTCATGGCTTTGTAAATTGCTCTGTCTGATATCTTCGGACTCTCAGTATGGCATAGAATCTTAGCAACGAGTGATGTCCGATAGCAATACAAGAGGATACCCTGCAGATAATCACACTCAGCTCAGCGCGCAAGACAAGTGACTCTCTTGAAAGTAGCATGAATAGCAATAGATCACGGGGAACTGGTCAAAAAGAAGAAACAAAAAAAAAAAGAAAAAAGAACAGCCGAACGCGGGGGTCGAACCCGCAACCTTGAGATACCGTGAGGACTAAGAGTCTCACGCTCTACCGATTGAGCTAGCCCGGCTAGTTGTTGAAATTTGCATTCGAATTTTAAGATTATATTCCAAAAGGAAACCTATAAAAACACAAAAAAATACAAAACCAAATTCTCATCCATTAATACTCCGTACTAGAACTACTAGTAGTACTAGTACTAGTAATTCCCCACAAACGTGAACCCGACATATACAGGCGGAGCCTGATACATTAAGATTGGTTAGATATCAATGGCAACGGCAACCATAGCGACGGCTCCCAGAGAGTAGCCGACGCTGGCCTTACTGGCAGCACCGGTGGCCAGTGGTGGAGGGCTGATGGAGGCAGAAGCGGATGCAGAGGCAGAGGCAGAGGCAGAGGCAGATGCAGATGCAGATGCAGGGGCGGAGGGAGTCGTAGGGGCGGAGGACGAGGAGGAGGAGGGGATCACAGCCCTGGAGGAGGTGTTAGAAGTGGTTTTGGTAGAGGTGGCGGAGTCGGAAACATCCATGTACGCGTCCACGCCCCTCTGGATAGCCGTGCTGATCCCGGCGGAGAGCTTCCAGGCAATGTCTCGAAAAACCAGCGGAACGTTGGAGGTAATGGCTGTGGCGAGGTTGTCGCCCGCCGCCTTCAGCTCAATCAGGTTGTCCTTCATCTTCACACCGGCGCCGGCCTTGACGAACTGATCTTTCTTGGAGATGATATCGTCCGTAGACTGGTCCACCTTCTTCGTCAGGGCCTGGACGGGCTCAGGAAGAGAGAAAGATTCGAGGGTGGTGAGCCGGGGGCCATTCTTGATCGAGTCGGTGCCCTTGTTGATGGCGGACATCACGTCAGATGAGGCAGACTGGACCTTGGAGGAGTCCCCACCGTCGTAGGCCTTGATGGCCGCAGCGAGGGTTTCGGTCTTGCTGCTTATGTCGGCCAATATCTCCTTCGGAGAGGAGCCATCACGCTCAATGAGGGAGGCCTCACGGCCGACCTTGGTGGGGGTGGCCAGGGTGCTGCCAGCGAGGCTCAGAGCGAGGACGATGACGGAGAATTTCATCATGATGGGGAATGACAGTGAGTGGAATTGAAGAAGGAATGGATAAATCACACCAGTGTCTGACTTAGGAAGAGCTGGAAAGGTAGTAAAGAAAAAGAAAAGACTGTGGTCAAAAGAATGAAGAGCTCTGATCTGTTCAGTCAAACTGGTCTGAGGGAGTGGAAAGGATCATATATCTATATCTATATATATAGATCTATAGATATATAGTAGACAAAGATATCAGTGGATACACAGGGAGCACCGATGAAGCGAGTCTTAGCCAGCGTAGAACAGGGGAACTAGAGCCCCGGGGTTTATTCTTAGGACTGAAGCTTCGGGAATGAGTTTAATTAATTAAACGTCTGGGGCTAATATAGAGATCAACATCATGACACTCTTTTCACCGGTGTTACTGAGATTTCGAGGGGGTTCGATCGTCGTATCGCTTACAAATATCACGGTGACATTCGACTCGAGTCGACATTTCATCGCATTCGCCATGGATCAAAGGAGTCCATGGCTCATTTGTTCCTCTCCGTTAGCCACGAAGACATGATTTGAATCCAGCTGGTTGCCTCGCTTTCAGAAGACAGGAGGAATGTCAACGGCGATTTCTTGACTTCATTCGCCGCAGGGTTACATCCTATCTCTACCAGTAAATACTCACGGATCACGAAACAAACGGAGAAAGAAAAAATGGTCCGATCTACGGTTCTGGGCCTCAGTCTAGACCAGGCTATTGTTTGAAGCTCTGAAACCAAGAGCTGATCGCCGGAACGCGGAAGACTTGAATGCAGCCCTATAAATGTCGTCGTGCCTCAGTTCCAAATTGACAATGGCGATCCGTGTCACACGATAGGGAACAAACAGAGTAACCTATTCACAATCCCAATTTTTGGTCCTGTCGAATACGATGTGATAGGGAACTCTGTGATCCCTTTCGGTTTTCGCTGCTTTTGTGGGTTTCACATAAACAATGGTCGCTCGGGGGAGGTTTTTTTTTCTTCCGTGGGAACTTATCGGTGTCTAGACGTACAACTGCGGGATACTTTGGCAGAATAATGTTATGCCAATACTACTCCGTACGGAGTACTAAGATATCGTTATTTTTCCTGATGTTCAACTATCTTGCTGAGTGTTCTACGGAATTTATGCATCGGTTTGCATAAAACCAACAACGACCTGACTTCCATTATTTCGTTCGATGGTGATTAAGGAGATGCAGGGCGAGTACTAATCCTACCAACGGTCCTATATCGAAACTGACACTACAAGAAGTACTTGAACTTTTGATCCTCCTCAAGATATTCTATCCTTACAATTCCACTTTCTCCCGAAAGATGATACAATGATCTCTCCACACCCTCATCAGATTTACGTACAGGCAACAAAGTTATTGCCACGAGCACCATTGTGAGTAATCAAACCGGCCAACGCATCGTCACTGTTGAACACCACGCGGTCGGCACCGGGAGCACCGCCAGTGTAGGTCCTTCCCGAGGACAGGATCGGCCACTCATAGTACGTGCCCGGAACAGGGAAGTCGAAGCCCTCGTAGTTGTTGTACTTGTGGGGGTAGTGGCTGTGGCCGAGGGTTTGGCCGCTGGCGTGCATCTGGTAACCGGCGCTTTGAGCGGCGGCGACTTCAGACGAGGAGTAGCAATTGTGGCCGCAGGTGTAGTCACAGTCGCGGGGGACGAGAGAGGGGAGGGCGAGAGCAGTAGGGAGGGCGACGAGAGCCAGAAGCTATTCGTTGTGAGATATAGAGATGCCGAAGAAGGATTGGGACCATCATACCTTGTTGTACAACATTTTGATCAACCAGGGGAGGCAATCTGGTGAATAGGAGGCAAAGAAAAAAAAAATAACAGAGAAGCACCTTTTCGAGGGGGGAAAGTGGGATTAAAGAGAACAAGTCAATAGACTGGTACTTAAATTCTTGAAAGCAAGACAATCACTATAGACTGTAGAGGGCTAGTATCTAATAGACATGTATAGTCCGTCCTAGCGAGTCTTTCTTATAAACCAACGATATAATAAAACGAAACAAACATTATATATTAGTATATACTATCTTACGGAATGAATAAACTTGTCATTAAAGATAAATACACGAACAAGAAAGCAACGTGGAAATACTTCTAGGTCGGACTATGCCAATTTCTCTTCAATCATCCTTCTCACCTTCTTCTCAGGCTCCCCGTGAAGCATCTCGATAAGCAGATTGGTAGAATCATGATGCAGGTCCGGTTGATCGGGTTGGAGGGAAATATTGGAATGCAATACCGTGTAGATCGTTGTCGCTTGCCTGACGATTCTTAATTTTTTCTTTTGCGACCAGGGTTTATGACGATCAGCTGATAGTGGCCAATGAGAGCTCGGGGACGACATGCATACGGTGTCCGTATCAGTGCTTATAAGCATTTAATATATGAATTAGTATGGAATTACATCGACGGACGAATCCTGTTGGGGCAGAAATATATGCCTCTGATTCATTGATTCAGATTCTCCGACGGAATCCGCAATGTCCAATGTCGACTGGCACTTTCTACGGAGTACAACGGCGTGTCTGGGAGTCAGGTTTATCCACGTGTCCCGAAAACAATCAGTCCACCGATATTATCATGAAGGCGGATGGCTGGAATGGAATGATGACGGTCCACAGCGACGATAATTGTACTCCGTACGGAGTCCCTACCCCATTTCTTTTCCCATTTGGAAATTCCAATGGAGGACAAGCTACTAATGATTATTCTTGATCTACTCCGTATACTCCGTAGTCTCATGTGAAAAAAGGGTTGGTCCCTACGGTACTCCCTACCAGGCAGTGTATATCCAAACCCACTCCAGTCAACCAACTTGAACTTGAACTTTACTACTATCAAGTATCCGTGAACTTCAAGGTCCAGTCGACCACTCCCCGATCCACCACACTGACATAAAATACACAATAATCCCGACTAGCGAAAAGCCGATCGAACATCCAGCCGGGCCGCCCTTGATCAAGGCATTTTTCCCGAACCGACCAATAACCCCGGGCTGATCATCCCTGAATGGTCTTTTGATAGTTGGTGATGATCCACCGGTTCATTTGCTGACGATGTCGTGGTGGGGATGTTGTCTTGTAGCCCAGTAACTTCAGGACTATGAATTAAATTATATATACCTTGTTTCATCACCAGTCAGTGTGGCCGAGTGGTTAAGGCGATTGACTAGAAATCAATTCCGTTCGCGGGCAGAGGTTCGAATCCTCTCGCTGACGATTCATTTTTTCTTTTTTCTTTTTGACGGTCCTGATCATACTGTTGAATTATCATTGGACAGCAAGGGGTGCGAAAAAAGAAATCACCACGGATACTACTCCGTACTCCGTACTCTGTACCTATATTTCTAAGAATGCAAATCCTATGGAAAAGCGAGGGTGACCAGATCATCCTGGCAAATCTCTTTTATTGTTGACATGACTTCGGCGTATCATTTGGGCATGTGTCCACATGACCATCAGCCTTATTTCATGAACAGCAATATAAAGCACCTAGTACACTGCATACGAATCTGATTTTTATTGATAAGTTATATTTATCGATTCCATCATTCTGAGCGTAGCCACTGAGGTGAACTGTTGTTCCCTTGCAATGAATGCTTACGGTGTGGAAACGGGGGAGATGCCCTTGGTCGAGCAGAATGGCCGAATTGATAGGTAATGCAACTACGGAGTACTTAAGCAAGTCTACTTAGTCGTAACGTAGTAACTTGGAAAGATGACGGGATCCTGCAGCCAGAATCAGCATGACAATACAGTACTAAGAAACATGACTGGACGAGGTATGGTACGTAAGCCCCTGACATCTATTCCACCAATGAATGATCAGGATCCGCACCAAGTGAGGCGTCTATCATTCTCGTCCCCACCTCAAGGTTTCAATCCGAGGTTCCAATTGCTTTACCCTATAGGATGACAACATTGGATCCATGAATGAACGCCTCCTTACTCCGTACTCCGTACTTGAGTCTGACATGGATGCAGTGGTACTGTACTGCTAGGTACCACTAGTACTGTACAGTAAGGACGTACTCGTTCAACATTATGATGACCGATTCAATACCGTACACTATCTGTCAGTCTTGGCCAACATCATTACTACCTTGCCAAGCACCTCCCGACGTCTCTCTTAAAACTGAACCCAAATCTCCGGAGAATTCCTCACTGCTTTCTTCTTTCCCCCTTTTACAATTGCAATTACTGCTGAGGGATCCTACACCAGTTCCCCTACCCCCGGTGACCATCGATATCTGGTTCTGAAATACATGCGTGAGTTACTCTCAACGGAGTCCACTTCCACTCCACTCCGTCCCGTCCGGTCCCGGTCTTCTTATCCACCTTCCCGTTCAGGATAAGAGCTGTGAATTTGCGGTCCAAATCCAAGTATATGGGCTTACATACATACTGACGATTTGATGCGCCTTTCAGACCGGATTCACTCGTGGGCGAAAGCTCACGCGTCCTCTCGTGCTTCTGCTACTGAGACTCCGACCCCCGCGAGCACACTCCCTCAGCCCGCTGTGGAAGTGACCGCAACGTCCGAACCGAATGGAAAAGTGAACGGTCCCGCGGGGACCCTGGCAAGGCCAGGGTCGAATGCAAAAAAATCCGATGGGGAACAACAGCCTTCCCCCAACCGAGGACTGCTGGTCCGGATGAAGGATGGCAGTATCCGGTTTGGCAGACATACCAAGCATGCCCTGTGCCACAGCTGGGTCAATGTCTTGCTCCTATTCGTGCCCGTTGGCATCGCCGTCGAGGCTGTGAAGTTAAGCCCGGCCGTGATCTTTGCCATGAATGCCGTCGCCATCATTCCGCTGGCCGGTCTCCTGAGCCATGCCACGGAATGTGTCGCCAGTCGTCTGGGAGACACCGTCGGTGCTCTCATCAATGTGACGTTTGGAAATGCAGTAGAGTTGATTATCTTGTAAGATGGGGGGATTTCTTTCTTTCTTCATTTCTTTCTCTTCTCTTTTTTTGGTTTCCTTTCCATTAGACTCCAATACGCTAACTAGGAACAGCATGTGAGTTGATTCGTGTCGAACTTCCCCGGAACGAAAAAACTAACCAAGCTTGTTCCAACAACTAGCATTGCACTCGTCAAGGTAATGTCTTTTGCTTCGACCGGCACATACGAGATCACTTACATCTGCAGAATGAAATCCGGGTCGTTCAAGCTTCCTTGCTGGGCTCTATCCTGGCAAATCTACTACTCATCTTGGGAATGGCCTTCCTCCTGGGAGGTCTTCGTTTTCAGGAACAAGTAAGTCCTTCGTGCACGGTGCCTCGGCAATCATCAGCGTACTAAAACGTCCCCCTAGATTTACAACAGCACTGTCACTCAAATGAGTGCATGTCTTCTCAGCTTGAGCGTCATGAGCTTGCTTTTACCAGTCAGTACTGAATCTCACATGTGTTTTGTATTCCAATAGACTAAGATTCATTGTAGACCGCTTTCCATGCCTCATGGTCGAATAATGCAGCGGCCGATAGATACACGCTGAAAGTCAGTCGCGGAACTAGTGTGGTACGTCGCGAATATTCTGTGTGCCTTTGGGCAACCCCCATTGATATTCTTGTGAAACAGGTTTTGCTTCTCGTCTACATCCTATACATTGTTTTCCAACTCAAGTCCCACTCCTACCTCTATGCCAGTATCCCACAACAGATCATCGATGAAGAATCCCACCCAGGTGTCCTAGCCGATTTCATGAACCACTCGTCGGATTCCTCGAGTAGTTCGTCCGACGAATCTGACGACACCACAACCTCATGGTCCACGGCAAAGCGGATCAAGAGGGCCATGAAGTACCGCAGACGTCGGAAATCAAGCACGAGCTCCAAGGGCACCGCCTCAACGCCGTCATTCCGCAAGCAGGCGTCCGGGGACTTGCCATCCACGGGAAGCAGCGACACTCCGGGCTCGGGTCGCCGTTCAACCTCAAACCCCACAGATGACCCAGCCTCCTGTGCCATTGATTTCGGCGATGACCCCCGCTACGACGCGGATAACGACGCCCACCAATTCATGCCCCAATTCCGAGACTTCGGTCAGGAGTCAAGTGCAGTGAAGCTTTCCATAAAGAAGCCGAAGGCGAAACGACGTGAGGCGCGGAAGAAACAGAAGCTCGCGGAAAGCGAAAACGAGAAGAGTAATACGGACAGTGCCCCGAACGCACGACCATCATGGAAAGCTAACTTGTCGGAACCTCCCCTCGATCTGAATGAAATGGAAAAGGGGCCTGAGGACCCGGATCTCCCAAAGAAACGCTTACCATTCCGCCCGGCTATCCCATCCCTGCTGTCCAATACCGTTTTCTCGAGCTCCCAAGCTCCGTATCACATCCGGGCTGACCCATCCGGGAACCTCAATGGTCTTCGACGTACCAACTCTCTCCCGTCCCGGATGAACCGCCCTCCACCCGTCGGGAATGCCGTGCAACTCGCCCGTGGTGCAGCCCGAATGCCCACGGCCGTCCACCCGCAGACCCTTCAGCCACCACCGGAGCGCCAGGAACCGGAAATGTCGCGGACTGCCGCGGTTGTCATGTTGCTCCTGTCCACCGGATTAGTCGCCGTCTGCGCCGAGTTCCTGGTCGACGCCATTCCCGGGATGATCAAAAGCTCCTCTGTCAGCGAGGCGTTCATCGGACTCATCATTCTTCCCATCGTGGGCAACGCCGCGGAACACGTGACTGCAGTCACCGTGGCCACGAAGAACAAGATGGATCTGGCGATCGGCGTATCCGTCGGTAGTAGTATTCAAATCGGTGAGTTTGCGGAACTCTTCTGGGTCCGATCGAGAGAACTGACCGTTGCCAGCAATTTTCGTCACCCCTCTGGTGGTCATCCTTGGCTGGTGTATGGAGAAAGACATGTCGCTATACTTTACTCTATTCGAAACCATTTCTTTGTTCGTCACGGCCTTCGTGGTGAACTTCCTGGTGCTGGATGGTCGCAGTAACTACCTGGAGGGAGCTTTGCTAATCGCTGCCTATGTGATTATTGGGTATGTTCATTGATCTTGTATTCACCTGAATGAAGACTAATATCGGAGACAGTGTTGCCGCGTTCTTCTATCCGGACGCCAGCCAATCCAGCGATGTTGCTACCGCTGGGCATTAACTACGAATTTGACATACGTGATGTTTTCCTGTTTTACACATGAATACGAAGTTTCATGTCACGGTTACCTTGTACCAGGATTGGAGAGCGGATTAGATGAGATGGATTATGGGTTCAGGTTTCGTGGACTGGACGGTGTTGGAAATGCTAGCAGAATCAGAATGCACTACGGTCCCAGGCCCTTGCGGTTCGTATCCATGTTTTCTTTTATCCACCACGTTGATAGGACTTAGACCAAGCCAGGTTCCACTAGAAGTAGAAAGGAGATTGCAATGCAATGCAGATGAAAGGATATCCCAAAAAAAAAAAGAATACAAACAAACAGCCTATGCTTGAAAGTCGAAGTAGGACACTCTACCAGTCATCGGTCGGGGGAGAGTATTCACGGGACCCCTCCTCGTAATGGTGGTAAATATGTTGTTCGACGACCTTCTCTTCTTCCTTTTCGGAATCGGAACTGGATCCGCCTGCTTTGCATTAGTGGTTGCTCATCTCTGAGATATATACGAACTACTACTATAGTAGTACGTAGTATATATCAAGTTTTCGGTCCGGGTCGATCGGGTAACATACCGAATTCATGATTCAGAACGGCTCCGGCAACACCGCCCAGCGCCAGACCGGCGGCAGCGCCCATCATCATCTTCTTCCGTCCATCTTTCTTTTTCTGTTCCTCGGTCTGGTAATCGCCCTGTGGGGGTGGGTAGTAACCTCCCTCCTGGGGCGGGGGTGCACCGTAGTAACCCCCGGGGGGAGGGGGGCTAATCGGACCCGAGGGAGGGGGGCTCATAATGCCGGGAGGGCCGGGAGGGCCGGGGGGTCCCATGTCACGCGAGCTATCGCCCAAAGGTTGCTCCCATTGGGACTTGCCGGTGGCTACCTCCACCCAGAAGGCACGTCGGGCATTGGGCTCCCACTCTTGGACCCAACCCATGGGCAGAGGAGGTGGGGGGACGGCAGGAGGTCGGGCCGATGGTGGTGGGGAAGCATAGGGTGGGCGCGCGTCGTAGGAACGGCTGGCTTCGTAGGGGGGTCTCTCGTATGGAGGACGGTCGGAGGGGGGTCGGTCATAGGGGGGACGGTCGTACTGCGGA